AGGCCCCAAAGTCCTTAAATAATAGGCACTTGGACCCTTAGGGATGCAGGCATCGAGGCGGCGGAGAAACGGGCCGAGGAGTATGCTGCCGTGGTGGAAGAGGCCACGACTGTTTTGATGAGAAGGTTTAGAGTTTAGGGTTTAGGGTTTAGAGGCTGTTGATGTCTGGCTTTGTTGTTGTCAGCGAAGTCGCGATCATCACAGTTATCGCAGCTTTGTCTCAACGCTTTTCGTGTGGAGTCTTCTGTCCTCGCACAGCGGTTTCGGGTGGCCAGGTCTTTGTCTTTTTTGTCAAAGCCTGAAGCAGAGATGGCAGCACGACTTCTTTTGTCTTGCACTATGCTCCTGTCATGGTTTGGTACAACATACAGCACCCCTACAGTACCCCCAAATTTACTCACATTGTTACGGCACCTCTACTTCTAAACCCTACACTACCCTCTAAATACGACCCCTATACTGAGCCCTAGAATAACTACCCCTATAGTAGAGCTCCTACAGGAGTACTTGAGGGTACTCTGGGGTTCTGCATAATCGAGTCCCGGTAAAGGAATCCTGTTCCACTCATCGGTTTCCCTAAGCCCTAAACCCTAAACCCTAAACATTGGACATCTCCACCTCGGGTCGAGGCACAGACAGCTCTGGAGTTGCGCTCTCAGCCTCGCACACTTCAGGAACATGCATGATATGGGAGTTTCAGAAAATTAGGGTACCTTATTTTGGGGTCCTTATAATAGGGATCCTATTATTTAGGGTACTATATTAGGGTCCCCTATTTTCGGAAACCCCCATATGCTTGAAACCACAAACGGAAGAAGCCCTATCTGTCAATCGATCCCTCTATCTGTCAATCTGTCTACTCATCTATATCTACCGATCGATCGACAGATCTACCCATCCAGCTGTCTGTCTTTGTGCGCAAGCGACGGCGGCACACCTGCTTCAACCTGGGTGTACACGGGGCTTGCACTTCATTGCAAAATTGTCTGGCACCTCAACACGGAATGCAACTCCGCCCACAGGCATGGCGGTAGAAGAAAGGAGTACAGATACATGCCGGAAAGAAGTAGGCATTGTGTTTTTTAAAAAGGGGTACTTGATGCTTCCCTAAAGTCTTGTTCTAGGCTGTTCGGCGCTTCGGGCCTGCGGAAGGCTCTGAAAGCGCTGATGCCGGAACACCCAAACCTCCGTTCCCTCCGTTCCAGATCTTCAATTGTAGGATGCGTTGCTCCGAGAGTGTTTTTTGATGTAGAAGTCCGGAATAGTAGATATCGATAAGACTATTCCTTGCCAGTTTCAAGATAGCTATATAGAGCTTTACATTGAGTTCTGAAGACTTAGCCCTCAGCCTCTGAATCCTTGAGAACCCGAAAGGTAAGCTGTATTCAAACCCTATGTGCGCCGGCCCGTGGAGCTTCGAAGATATGTTTCGAGACGTCGTAGTTTCGGGGCCTTGAACCCTTACATGTATACAGCCTAAGGCCTAAGATCCAGTTGTAGGCACAAGGACACATATACCGTATGGTACTATACTGCCCAGCACCCTACCCCAGCCCACATACTCAACCCTTCAGGTCACCCTTATAGAAGGTGACCCCTTTAAAGGAGCCCTATTCTAATTATTCAGGCCCCTATACGATGCCCTACACCCTAAACCCTAAACCCTAAACCCTAAGCCTTAAACTTAACCCTACACCCTAAACCCTAAGCCCTAAACTTAACCCTACACCCTAAGAAGCCCTCAACTTAACCCTAAACCCTAAACCCTAAGCCCTGAACTTAACCCTACACCCTAAGCCCTCAACTTAACCCTAAACCCTAAACCCTAAGCCGCCCTAAACTTAACCCTAAACCCTAA